GTCACAGTCAGAGAAACAGGACTACACTGGAAAACATGCACATTTCCAACATCTATAAACAAATGTGTCAATGGCAGATTCTGCATAGTAGGATAATAGAGATGGAATGAAGCAGAATGATGAAAAAGGGATCACTATGTCCTCCAGAAGTCTAAACCTATAGCAGCATAGCTATCGAGATAGTTCAGGATAACCTGAGCTTCTTAACCAAAGTTTTAAGCCTCTCCTTTTCAGTGGGATCAAAATATTTTTTTCTGAAACCAGAATATTTTCAAACTACAATATATACGTTGAGTCTAGTGAAAATATTTGGAATAAAACCAAAGTGTTTCCAGTGAAAGTGAAGTCTTTCAGTGAATGAAGTGGCTCTGTGTGTGTCCTGCAGGAAGGCGGTGAAGGCTACGCTGGTGCTGCTGCCGCTGCTGGGAATCACTTACATGCTGTTCTTTGTGAATCCAGGAGGAGAAGACGAAGTGGCACAGATTGTCTTCATCTACTTTAACTCCATCCTGGAGTCTTTCCAGGTTTGCTGAAGTTCCTCAGAGACTCTGATCCTGCAGCCAAGCATTCACCCGGGGCAAACAACCACTCCTCTCTGTCTCTACCTTGTTTGGGTCATCATCAACAGATGTGACAACATCTGGATTCTCTCCAACCAAATGTAAAGAGCATGGATCAGAGGGACTGTGGTGCCAGTGTTGAGGAGAACTGAAGAGAGGGTTTAGGTCAGGGTTAAGGCATACTATCATTCAGACATTAAGTCGTTGATGAGTGTCAGAGGTAGACATTGCTTCCTGAGGAATCCAGATTGATTAGGATGATCTCAGAGTCATTACGTGTCAACCTCCTTCATCCACTTTGTTCAGAGACATTAAGTCTGATAGTTTCCTGTCAGAGGAGGGTTAGGTTCTGTAAATCATACCCTACAAACAATAGACTGTTCATCTTCATGCTAAAGCTGACATCATCCCTCTGTCTCTCTCTGCAGGGTTTCTTCGTCTCGGTTTTCTACTGCTTCCTCAACAGTGAGGTAATTTAAGACGACTGTGAAACTGCAGAACAGGTTCCTCAGAGCGAAACCAAACAAGGAAATAAATCTGTTCATAAAACATGAAAGCAAAAAAAAACAAGGTTCTCTATTAAAATCTAGAATATGGCCGGTTGGGAGGATTTTTCATTTCCATTAGCCTCATCAGAGAGTGGAGTTAAACATGATTGAACATGATTTAAAAGAAAAGTCCGGTCAGCAAGGAATAACCA